AGCATCGTAACATACTGTCGAATCCTTTACGGCAACCATCTTTGACTCTGCATCATAGTCGGTGCTCCTTTTTCTAAATGGTGATGAGGTTCAACTTACTTTCAAAACGTCGAGTGTTACTGGCACAATTTATGTTGAGCCCTCGACCTCTATGACAGCCCGATTTAGGACGAGTCCAAGGTTGTCAGTATTTTAGGCGTTTATCAGCATAGGGAGCTCTAAAAGCTTGACATAGAATGTAAAGAAAAGTTCGGAGTCCGCAGTTGCTTGCCCATAAATACACCAATAACTGAAGTTTTCAGGAAAGGCAATGCCTCCATCCTAAGAATAATTCTCTACGCATATATTGATACACGTTTTTTTAAAAAACAAATTTCCAGTACAACGAAGACACCCTATCCCTCATTGACTCATTACAATGCAACACTCACACACACACACACACACCCCACCTCTCCTACTTTTGACAGATCAGACATCTTACGGAAACGGAAATACGTAAAGTTTCAGATACACTCCGAGTGTAGACACAAGAACGCCCAAAAGTAAACGGACCATCAACCGCCACACGTCGCTATGGTTAAATAAATATGTATGTAAGTCGACAACCCGATTGCTGCTTCATCGTCTGTAGGTGTTTTAAGACAAACGTAAAATGAATTGTCTGCTTACTTCTCATTCATTCATTCTTTCGGGTTTTCTTGTCATTTATTTCTCCTACCTTGTCTTGCTACGCTTGCATCACTTCATTTAAATCGACATTTGCCTTTATGTGTGTGTGTGTGAGTGTGTGTGTGTGTCAGTAAATATGTCTTCATTGCAAGTACCTTTGCAGCAATTCATTCATTCACGCTTACATACATTCAACGACTCACCCACACACACATACACAAACACAAATACACATGCTCACACATACCCGCAACGTACACACACATATTCGTTTGTTAAGTTTTCCATTTCATTTCTGTCTTGAATATCAATCAGTGATTGCTTTAATTGTTTCATTCGTTGTTGTAGTTGATGCTGCTGCTGCTGCTGCTGCTGCTGTTGTTGTTATAGCTGGCAAGTTGGCGTTGTTGAACAACTTAATCCTCCTGCATTGATTGCACTCACACTTGGCTTTGCGGTAAAATCTGAAACATAAGATTGTTGTTGCGAATTCGGAAAAGTTTTTAATACGACTTGTTAAGACACTTGCACACGCACTCACACACACACACACAAAAAGTTTGTTTTTTTTTTGCTATTTTTCCTTATTGTTTTTATACACCTTTTGCCATTTTGCTTTTGTGGCAGCAGTTGCAGACTGTGTCGTATGCTGCTCAATCATCTGCAATTGCGGTGCAAATGTCGGTATGTATGTATGTATATACTATGTCGTTGTATGTGTGATTACTTTGTAAGAATTTTATTTGAAGTTACAAAATTAAATTGATTCGAGTTGTGGTTTGTGTGTATGTGTGTGCAAGCATTTGCATGGCAAAAGAAAAATGAATGACTAATTCCAAGAAGAGTGCTCTAAAACTAGTTCCAATCGGATATAGTTTGGGATGGTTGATGTTTTAAGGACCAAAAATGTATTTCAGATTAAACTTTTACAAAAAAAAGTTTGGTAAGGTCAGATTATAATGCTTGACTGATAAGTCTTTCAGAGACCTGCTGGTTCTTTGTAGGGCCAAACGGAAGTTCAATTTAATTCAACTTTGATGTTAAGGGAAGTTTAGAGAGCTTAGCATTACGTACACACAAGCGGAATGCCCTTACTTCGAGTCCTGACCCGACCAACAGCTAAAATTATTGAAATTAATATTTTTTAATATTTCTCTAATTACCCTCGCCCTTCTGCAGGGAACGTCTAGCTACGTTGCTACGTCCAGCCAACACTTCCATGCACCTTAACTATCAACTTATAGATCAACTTTCTTAAGCACGTTTACTATAACCCGGAGAAGATTACCGCTTAGTCCTCTCTACTATATCGTTTACACTATCAGCGCTTTCAAGTATCTAGTCTTCCTGATCTTTGGTGCCATTCTGTTGTAACTTAGGTTTGACAGCCGGAACACTACAACTACTTTGCACTTCTTCCCTCGCAGCAGAGCTATGGCCGGTAGTGATACAGCAAGTAGACTCAAAGTGTTCACCAATGATAGCAGCCACTTCTCCTACCGACATTCGTGCTGGTATCCCAGACCTCTCTCAATCTTGTTATAGACCTCCGTGTTAACCTTTTCTATACCGGAATCTTTACTTGGAGCACATTTTATAAGTATACCGCCAGAAGTATTCTTAGCCATGGGCAAAGTAGACATGTATCAACCAGAATTTTTGACTTTTACCTTTTCTCTGCAGAGTAGCTATAGGAAAAAACAGCCTAGTAAATTGTTGACACATTGAACAGATAATTCATCAACTACTTTTGAAGAGAAAAAATTGCATAGCTTCTCTTTTCACATCTGCCACCCGGCTCGGCAAAAGCCTAGAACCACTTTTAGCTTAACTGTAAAGTAACATAAAACTTGCCAAGATTTGAATTTTTTTTGAAACTGCCATGCAGAGCTCTTCGTCTATAGCCTTCGACTCCACCAATGGGGAGCAAAGTCGAGAGCTGCCGCCTTTGCTTGTGAATCCATCCATAAGTAAGGAATAAACATAAAAATTGCTATTTTGTGCATCATTAACTAACCAATTTTGAAAAATTCAAATGAAAATATATCCAAATCGATTTTTCTTCAATACAGTAAACACACCGTTAAATATGTAACCAGCTAATAATGTGGTCTGCCCGCAAAGCTACAAAAAGCTTCTCACAATCAGTAGTTAGTATCACATTGCAGCAACAATGACAGCATAATTGTTATGTCGACGTTGAATGAAAGAGCTGAGCTCAGCAAGGAAGAAGTAATATATATGTACGTATAACTGGTTTGCCGCAGGCTGCAAACACTGCGAGAAGAAGCTTACTTTTTATAGTTACATAATATTTTTTTTTTGTTTTACGAGATATGAGTAATCCACACGTCGCTGTGTGCACACCACAGGTCAGTTTCACTATATCAGTCGCACAACAACAACAACAACAACAACCATTGTGGATCACTATCCCACCAACTGATATCTCTACAGTAAATGCGAGCCTGTAGCAAAAAAAAGAAGCTAGACAAGTCGTATAGTAGAATAACTAATAGGTTTAGTTGCCACAAGTGCGGAAAGCACCTGCTACAATCTCTTTCTCGTTGCCAATGGCACATCTTTGCATTCCCAGTTGTCTACCTGCCTTCAATGCGGTTGTGACGCCGACGATTTGTGCCTAGACAAGCTGCTGCGTGTGTCAAGTCATTTAGTCGTCGCCGCAACTGCAACTGCCCAACAATTACAGTGCACAATGTTGCCATCGACTTGGTCTGTTGGTCAGCCGACTAGTATGTAACTAACCAGGAGATGTGCAATTATACTTAATATGTGCGTGCGTGTGCACAGATTAAAGGGCGGCAGTTGAGTATTAAATTCATAAAAACTTAGCTATATATATGTACATATGTTGCTGTCAGGCTATTGAGCTGAGCAACGAAGGACGCGCAATAATGTTTACATTGCTGTGAACATCTTAAAGGCGGCTCTTGTGTGCTCATTATCGCTATGGACATGAGCTCCGCTGCTATTTTTGTGTTGAGGTTTAATTGTTATGGCGTTTCAGTGAGCCTAATCTTTTTAATTAACCTGTGTAAGTTATGCAAATTGTCAATTTTTTTTCGAACTCAAATGTACTCATACCCACACTCAATTCTAACGACTCTAAGTATATGAATTAAGTTGATCAAGAAACCTGCACTAATTACTTTACAGTTCATTTATTTTATTGCAAATTTTATTTTACAATACAGAAGGGAGGCGTTTTAAAGTCATAGACTAATACACATAGCGTGTCTCAAGTCCCGCGCACAGCTTCGCTGAGCGAGAGGATAGGCGAATCAGGGAACATTTCTTTAGCGATCTGCTTGCCTAAAGGCCAACGCTCTCTATGGTGAACAGTTGCTCCAAAACAAACTCTAATAATGTACGATTCATGGTTCAATTCTGGCTTTAGTAAATTACTACAACTATTTAGCTTTGACTCAAGTCACCACAGGGGTTGCTTACCACAACTCGCACAAGGCATGCACACGTTCTCAGGACAAGCACGAATTGGACGCAAGAGTACGAATAATATAATCTGCATATGCATAATTAGTTGTAGGGCTGTGCCCTCCATTCTAAAATAAAATCTATATTACGTATGCGGGATATCGCAGTCACACTCACTCCCTAACCGGGCTGCAGAGGAACGACACACGCAAGCAGCAGCAGCTCATCAAAGCGGGTACAAATATGAAAACAGTAACAGAACACCGAACTCACCTTATTATCCAACCACATATGGGTTCTTGATAACTGACTTACGGATGCTTCGCAATGAGCCAATCTCTTGGCAAGACTTCACCTGGGTGCTTAGCATTCTTTCCCCCCATTGTATATGCATTAAGCAGTCAAGGCTCTGGGAGTGTAAACTCGAGTACGTTGCCGAGAGTTTCGTCGCTCCAATTCCAAGCGACGTCAAAGCAAAGTCTTAAAGCGAAACGCTTACTAGCTGCTCAACTTTCCATTTACTCAGATGCTCATGGAAGGTATTCCTGGACCTTAAATGTCCTTATGCATATTTTTAGACAACAGTTGAAAGCGCTTATGCGGGTCTCACGAAAACCTTTCCATGTGAAATGGCTCTAAGTTGGAAAGTCTTCTGGCTCAGTGTCAGTCAGATGGATGTTTGATAGGTTCGATAGGTGAAGTAGCGTAAGGTGCCGTAGAGTACAGCAAAATGATATACCTCTCACTTTTTTACCGTTTGAAGCGGAAATCAATAACAGAATAAATTTTATATTGTGAAATAAAATTTAATTTATACACTTCGGTTTATTACGGAGCAAAGCTGCAGTGATAAGTTTCTTAAATTTACAAATTTACTTCCTTTTTCTCTCTTCAAAATACTCATCTTCATCATCTACATCATCATCAATATCATCATCACCCTCACCCACATGTATATCATAGTCCGGCAAATTGACATGTCCCTCTCCCGCACGTAAGTCTAAGGAACGAGATGAGGCTGCCGGTCCTGTTGGCCCAGTTGGTCCTGTTGGGCCAGTTGGTCCTGCCGGACCACGCTCACCAGGGAAACCACGTCTGCCACGTCGTCCTGGTGGGCCTATTGGTCCTGGAATACCTGCTCTACCGGGCAGTCCACGTTGGCCAGGTGGTCCGGGTGGTCCTACTGGGCCCACCAAGCCCTCATCACCCTTATCGCCACGATTACCCTGTAAGCCTGGTTGACCGGGTAATCCAGCAGGTCCAGGTGGTCCAGGTGAACAAATACATGGTGCTTGCGAATAAACTATTGGTTGCTGACGGCCTCCCAGTAAGGCGCGTTGCTCATTTTGCGTATCACTCGCGGCTAAACGGCGTTTGCCAACGGTAATGGGCATAGCGATGGCAGCCAATAGGAGTAAGAGTGCTGAAATGTGGGATTTTATGTAAGTATTTTAGAGCTTTGAGTTTTAGCTTCAAAATTGTTGCTTACCACTTAGAGTTGTGTTTTTCATGACGGATCAAAGTGAGAACTGAGTTAAAGTCGACTCATAGAGAACTTTATATAGAGTGTGCTGACTTCTGCTACGGGCAGCACTTACTTTAAAGAAATTTCACGAAGTATTTTCATCCAGCTCAGCAGCTTATAATCTTTCACTCTTATTTGCATAATTCTACTTCATCACAGTTCTTTTTTAACGACCCGCAGACAGTTATCTGACCCATTTGATGGATTGATTGATCACTTAAGTATTAAGTATTCTGTTAAGCGGTGCGGTGAACTCATAAAATTTGCAAACGTGCATATAAACCAGCGCAAATGCTAAGCGTATATAACATCCATTCGCAAGCAGCTCAGCCGTTAAAAGCTTTTAAGCCATGAAACTGACGCTAGTGCTCGTCTGCTTCGGTATTATAAAGTTATAATTAAAAGTTTATCATTTCGCTTACTTTCTTACCCATTACAGGATTCATCACTTTGGCAGTTGCCAACTTTGTTACCCAAGTAGGCCCACCAGGTCCTCCTGGTCCACCGGGCTTGCCTGGCTCACCCGGGCCAAAAGGTGAAAAGGGTGATCGCGGCTCAGACGGACGCGTAGGACCTGCTGGTCCACCTGGATCACCTGGTAGACGCGGCCATACTGGCACTCCTGGTCCGATAGGGCCTCCAGGTGTACCAGGTTTGCGCGGGCCGCGCGGTTATGATGGTGAACGTGGACCAGAGGGTCCCACGGGGCCGACCGGACCAACGGGACCTACTGGTACATAAGGAAATTGAAATATAAATGTGGTGGACAATTTTACAGGATTAAAATGTGAAGCGTTTGCAATAAAGAGACTTACTATGAACAAAACAAAAAAAAATATTTGGTTTATTTGGATGAAAATGTGGAATGAGTCTAGTAAGAGGAAATGGACGCAGATCATACACAATAACTTTTATAGACTTAAATTACATTAGAGATGAGCTATTGGAGCAAATGCATCAGCTATGAGATTTGTCGTCTAACAAAGGAACAAGGTCGGATCGGATTAACCAATTCATAGAAGAAGCGCTGCGAGTTCCTCTAGTTTATAATGCACTTTTAATTCCGAAATATGGTCTGGTAATTAATTTAAGGCTTATCGATATTAAAGGGTTTAGAATTGTTGAACAATTGTTTTTTTAACTCCACCGTCATTCAAAACATGTTTAGAGAACATACTTCTCCAAATAAACCAATGCATCCTTATCTAATTTCCTCAACTACTGAAACGATAACCGGTATCGGGCCCAACTCTTGCTCTCTTGTTTGCTGAAAATATATTTAGTCCAGAGGATTAACGGTCAGTCAGCTGCTCCGATGGCAGTTAACATGTTTAACTAGCATGCTTTTCGCTTAGGTCGGTATCACCGTTATATTCCGATCAAGATGGTCATCCAGAGGGAATGTATTAAAAACTCAGGCCTGCTCTCTTACGCCGCCGTCCCAGTACAAGCAATTTCAAAGGGAACTTCCTTCTCTAGGGATTTACTCAATACATGATGGTGCGTCGCTCTGATGATTTGACGGTGAACACAAGAGAATGAGCCCCACGGAACATCCAAACAAAAAATGGGAATGAATTCTGGGGTTTAAGTCAACGATATATGAACTTTCTTCACCTGACAACAATATATATGTCTTTGGGACCTCTTCGTTACCTACAAGTCATATATTGTAGTTACTCCACAGCTCCGTTGGATAATTTGCCACTGTAAGATCGTCCTTGCCGCCTCCAGCAAAGTCTATTTTTTTTTTATATATTTGGATTATTTTATTTTATTTTATTTTTATTTTACTTTATTTGATTTTATTTTATTTTATTTTATTTTATTTTATTTTATTTTATTTTATTTTATTTTATTTTATTTTATTTTATTTTATTTTATTTTATTTTATTTTATTTTATTTTATTTTATTTTATTTTATTTTATTTTATTTTATTTTATTTTATTTTATTGTATTTGAATTTAATTTTTTTAATTTATTCTATTTTATTTTACCTGTTTTCATTTTATTAAATTTTTTTTGGGTTGTGCTTATTTTATTCGGATTAGATGTCCTAACAAACCAAAAAAATTATGGGCCATCAAAGTAAACCGTTTTAATGAAGCACAATCATAATGAGCTCACTAACCGTTTAATATGTATGGTGCAGATTTCTAACTATCAAATTAAATAAATAAACTAAAAGTTTATTAAACTTTTCCGATGTCTTCAATATTAAATAGTATCAGTTTTCATACGGTTTAAATTTATTAATAGTCTATAATTAGAAATCAATTAAAACTTAATGTTTACTATAAAAGTAGAAGTTTTGTTATTAAAGCAAACTAAAAATAATAGATTTTAATGAAGAATAGACAGCATTGAAATGCACTCCACTCGCAGACTCGCTTTTTGAGCCCTCAATTGGAGGAATTTGTTGTTTGATATCTCAAAGAGTAGTTGCCACACTCTGGCACCAACCACTTGCTATCATTTATAGCACAAGCAATATACACACCAGTTTAACGGTAAGTATTTATAAATCGTTGTGTACTCGTTCTTGATGTCTTAATGAGCAATACAGGCAAGCAACATAAAACACGCGCATAACACAAGACTATAAATAAATATCAAGATTATAAGACATAAACTAGACTTGATGATCTGGTCAAGCCAACACTTTGCGTAGCAAACACATATACACACACACACACACACACATATACAAACAAACGCGTATGATTGGAAAGAATTGTAGCTACCTTTTTAGTGCCTCGTTAAAAGCCACCTCGTCTAATTTTATTACCTACACACACACACACAGACACACAACCCAAAAGACCTTTAAGTACTTTTATATTACAACTACAAAAAGTAGTATATTCCTGATACTCTGCAGAACGGAAATCGAGAAGGCAATCAAAATGCCATAAGCAAACCGATCAAATGACAAGCAAATATTCGCATGTGTGTGTGTGTGTGTAAGTGCGTATGTAATATAATACTGTTTTAAGTCTGCATGGGGGTAAATATACAAGTTTTCGCTTATCATCGATGCCATAAAAACCAACTACAACATCAACAAATTAATTGGAGCAAATCTTCAATTTACGAGCGTTAACAATGTCTTTCACCTGTTATTCTTGGCCGGCAATATCACTTGTAATTAAATGCGCACACCATCTCAGACACACACACTCACGCACGCATACCCATAAACGTATTTAGAAGCTATAAAAATCATTGATCACTTGGCAATGAATTGTGGGTATCACTTTCAGTGTGTGTTGGACTCATTAGTTGTTGGCATAGAGTTGTGTTGCTGACCTTTAGTAGCTGAACATATTTTGATCGAATTTTTTATGTCTCAAGCGTTGGTAATAAAAAATTTTTGCTTCCAAACTCGAGTGAAAAAATGTGTAAAAAACCAATCTAATAAAAGCACTTAGATCGGGGGCTGAGCTTAGAGATTGATTATGCAAACAGCAATGTTATTGGGTATCAGTCAGAACTCTAAGCCCACAGCTGCCGCGTGGCTTCGGCAAACAGAGTCACCTACCTTTAACAGTACGAAGAGTAGTTCTCTCTACGTTTTTATGTGTGTATTTGTAGTAGTCAGTCAAAGTTATTCACAGAAAGAGCAGTAAAGAGATCTGAATATTTAGTCAAATAATATAATACAAAATCAAATATAATTGAAGCAGTGCTAACTGCTAGCCGCCTAATGGTAAATGGTTAAACAAATGGCTTCAGTCCATTAACTAAGAAGCATACAAAAAATCAAAACAAAACTAGGACATATTTACAATGCGGCCGGGAAAAGAAAAGCGTGCGTCAGGTTCAAACTACTAACTCTTTCCTGCACTTGAAAGATTAATCGGAAGGTATGGCCATCGGAAATAGAGTAGACCGACCCAAGGAATATCTCTGCTAGCTCAATGGCGACAACTCTACTCTCCAAGCACAGATTGTGGGCATTACTGAAGGTGCAAAATGGCTTATCGCTTCAACATTACTTTTGTCACAGATCACACGGATATAGAAGACAATAAAGAGGCAGCCGAACTAACTTCCGCTGACAAGTCCGTGATCACCGACTGCTTCAGGGTAATGACAGCACCAGATGAGTTGGAACACCCGAACTATAAAGAAACTACTGGGTTCCTGATTGCAGAAAGTGACATCCGCTTAGCGGTCGTACCAGTCTAATAAATACGAAAGTGTTCAATGAAATATCCGAGAGAGAGCAGAAAGACGATCGCCGAAGATTATGTGCAAGTGCAGCAGAATAAATCACACTCAATTCTTGCTAATGCTGTCTCGAAAGAACTGTAAGATAGTTTTACATTTAATGGCAGCGCACCAATATATACGGAAGCAGAATGGAGGTTCGTCAAATAGCTCAACAATCTGTTAATGCCGACTACTTTATAAGCATCATTTGAGTCCTACCCAGTAATACTCAAGCACCCAGCAATACACAAACCCTTGGGTGACTTACTGCCAAGTGAAACGAGGTCGCTCTGCACTTGCTGGAGCGCATTCATTCATTCGGACGTCGCAAGCGTAACCGCTGTCTCTTTATTCCCAAAACTATGTCATTGTGGCCACATATTTCGTACATCACATCGTTTTATAGTCTGCGATATTCGCCGTTCCAAGTTCGCAGAGGATGCATCGGCGACTTGTTGAGTTTAGTTTTGGTTCGTCGAGAGCGTACTTTACTCTTCAATTACCTGCACAGTCTAAAGTAGCATCTGTTGGACATAAAGACTGGCATTTTCCCTATTCAGATTAAATGACTGTCAACTGTGCCGTGGCAGGCAAGCAGTTATTGTTCTGACTCTTTGTTTGATGACCGGAGAGAAATTCGTCTTCTCCTCGTACACTGCCAGAGAATTTGCTTCGATTCTTTGTCAAGTCTGCAGAGCAAAACAAACGACACGGTTGTTAAAGCCTACGATTTCATTCCTTTTTGTTTGTGCCTTGTCTATTTGGCTCTTTAACTCCTATTATTGTATTGTCCAGAGTCACCCTGTCTGAAACCTCGTTTGGTACCGAACGGCACAGAAAGAGAGAGAGAAAGAGAGAGAGAAAGAAAGAGAGAGAGAGAGAGAGAGAGAGAGAGATTTACTCCCAAAACTGTCAGCACTTCTGGTGTTGTCTTGCGTCAGTTTTGCTGGTATAACAAAATCAAACATTGCAGAGTAAAGGCAGCTCCGCACGCTGTTGTCGAAGCTTGCTTTAAAATCGACGGAGAAGTGGGGTGTGTCGATCCCCTTTCCTAGGTCTTCTCCAAAATTTGCATGGTGACTTTCTGGTCAAAGGTGGACTTACAATGTTTGAAGCCAAGCCAATAAGGTCCAATAAGCTTTACTAAACTAAAAAGTCAACGAGATTGAGTGGTCGAATACTAAAAAATACAATTATTCCGTCAAACACCAACAACTTATGGCGAAATCTAATTTGATTTTTTGTAACTGTTATTGCCCTTCTCCATCCTCTTCTCTTTCCTCTTGTCATTTCATTACTATCAATGAATGTCCTTCAACTGCACTAATTTCCCTCATTTCCACTTTAACGCCACTTCGAGTTCAAATTTCTACCTCATTAAAGAGTGCGTTAAAACTTGAGCAGCCAAAACGGTAAATATTTACTTACATATATACTTATATAAATGTAAGTATGTATGTAAGTAAGTATTTTGGATGTAACTTAGCATGAGCTGAGTAGGTTCAGCATTGGTTGAACAGGGATT